TTAGCATCCTGCAGGATGCTAAGGTGGCCTGCCTCTGTACATGGAGGCTCTGCTTGGCTGTTACAAGAATCGCCTCTCCGATTGGATCCTTTGTGCCCCCAGAAAGGTCTCGATCCCTTTTAAATTGTCCTGGTGGCAGCGAGTTCCAAAGATGAACTCTCTGTTTGGTTAAGGCAGTGTTTCTAAACCTTGGCACCTTTAAGAGAAATGGACTCCAACTCCCAGAATCATCCAGCCAGGAGTCTTAAAGGAGGGATGGACTTCAGCTCCCAGAATCCCCCAGCCAGGATTCTTAAAGGGGGATGGACTTCAGCTCCCAGAATCCCTCAGCCAGGATACTTAAAGGGGGGATGGACTTCAGCTCCCAGAATCCCTCAGCCAGGATTCTTAAAGGTGGGATGGACTTCAGCTCCCAGAATCCCTCAGCCAGGATTCTTAAAGGAGGGATGGACTTCAGCTCCCAGAATCCCTCAGCCAGGATTCTTAAAGGGGATGGACTTCAGCTCCCAGAATCCTCCAGCCAGGATACTTAAAGGGGATGAACTTCAGCTCCCAGAATCCCCCAGCCAGGATGCTTAAAGGGGGTGGACTCCAACTCCCAGAATCAAATGGCTGTCTGGGGGATTCTGGGAGTTGAAGTCCACCCCTCTTTAAATCGCCAAGGCTGAGAAACACTGAGTTAAGGTTACCCAGTCCCTAACAACAACAACAACAACAACAACAATAACAATTCCTCTTTTCCCTTCTGGTTTTTCTTTCTCTCTCTCTGTCTGCAGATCGTGGCCAATTACAACGGGACCACCAAAAAGATTGAAAAGATCCCTGGAAGGAAGATCCACTGGCCCGGCAATACCATCCCGAGGGACGTGCCCTTCTGCGGTTTCGAGAATAGCAACCCGCTTTGCCAGAAAGGTGCAGCTGGGGGGAAAGAAACTGTGTGTGAAATGGGTTGAGAGTCGCTAGCCTGTGGAACTCCCTTCCACTTAAACCGTGGGATTGATCTGTCATGGGGCCGGGGGTGGGGGTGGGGGACACCAAGATATATCAAATTTAGATATTATCCAGGTGGATTTAAACCACCCCGACTGAAGTTTGGAAGATTTGGGGTTTGTTTTCCAGGGGTTTTACATTTTGATCCACCAAATTGGGACCGGTTTCATCAGAATCTCCTTCCTCTGTTTTTTAATTTTGTATTTTTTTTTCCTTCTCTCTTCCAGCCTCTTTTTCCTTGCTGGAGATCCTGTCGCTCGTGATGACGCTGCTTCTCTTCGGCATCATCGTCACTGCCTTCTTTGCCTACCGGTGAGTTTGCAGGGTGGATCCTGCCCAGCAGAAAATTCGTTTTTTATGCTTCGGGTCTGGGATCCACTTGATTTTCAGGCAGTGATGATATTCATGGCTTCCTTGGTTCCCCCCAATGTTTGTTTATGCAAAGCTAATTCTGAGCGATGCATTTAAAACGAAGCCAATTCTGAGCGATGCAATTTAAATCAAAGCCAATTCTGATCAGTGCAATTTAAAGCAAAGCCAATTCTGATCAATTCAATTTAATGAAAAGCCAATTCTGAGTGATGCATTTAAAATGAAGCCAATTCCCGAATGAAGCATTTAAAATGAAGCCAATTCTGATCAATGCTGTTTAAAGCAAAGTCAATTCCAAGCGAAGCATGTAAAACAAAGCCAATTCCGATCAATGCAACTTAAAGCAAAGCGAATTCTGAGCGATGCATTTAAAATGAAGCCAATTCCCGAATGAAGCATTTAAAATGAAGCCAATTCTGATCAATGCAATTTAAAGCAAAGTCAAATCCAAGCGAAGCATGTAAAACAAAGCCAATTCCGATCAATGCAATTTAAAGCAAAGTCAAATCTGGCTGATGCCTTTAAAACAAAGCCAATTCCGATCAAGGCAATTTAAAGCAAAGTCAATTCCAAGCGAAGCATTTAAAACAAAGCCAATTCCGATCAATGCCGTTTAAAGCAAAGCCAAGTCTGACTGATGCCTTTAACATGAAGCCGATTCTGAGCAATGGCGTTTAAATTAAAGTCCGTTCCGAGTGATGCATTTAAAACGAAGCCAATTCCGAGCTGCTAATTAACCGGGAGATTTTATGAGGCGGGTTGGGTAGTGATGGGGGAAAATGGCGAGGCTGCGTGTGGCTTTTCACCGCCCGAACTGGTGTGGCGGGACCCCCTGTCTGCAAAACAAAAGAAGGGAAGGACATTGAGGGACGGGCCAACCATACCTTCTGCCTCGGTGCGTTTCCCCGCGCCGCGACAGGAAAATGAAGTTGGAAAAGGAGCTGGCTTCCGAATTTTGGCGCATCAGCTGGGAGGACGTGCAGTCGAGCAACCTGGAGAAAAACCTACGCAGCATGGGGAGTAAAGTCACGCTTTCGCTGGTGAGTAGCCGAATTTGCCGGGTCTCCAGATAGGACGGCCTCTCCTTTGTGGATTTCGGTTAGCGAAACGTGGGTTTTTGACTTCATGCTGGGCCTCCCCTGCCTGGCTGGAAAGCCTTTTTTTTCACACACGTGTCCCTTGGCGCGGTGCATACGCCACCCCTTTGAGGTAGGCCGGTGGCAAAACAGGTTTGGTCCGTGGCCGAAGTCCCACAGATCAAAATCTCCCCCCAAATCCAAAGGCTGAAATCTCTTCCCAGAAGCTCAGAAAGAAGCAAAAGCTGGATAATTTGTGGGTTTTTTTGGGGGGGGTTGTTTCTTTAAAATGGGGTTTGTTGTCACTGCTTCTCCCCCCCCCTCTTTTCTTTAGAGAGGTTCAAATTACGGATCTTTGATGACCACCGAAGGACAATTCCAGGTTTATGCCAAGACTGCTTATTACAAAGTAAGCATTTCTCTCGGATCATTGTGGTGGGAAATGGGGAAGGCCCTGGGTGGGAGGGCTACTCCTACATGGGGGGGTCTTTGGGGTGGGGTCTCTTCTTCTCCCCACAACACTGGGTCACCCTCCTCTCTTTCCCCCCCCCTCCAGGGGAACCTTGTGGCCGTGAAGCACATGAACCAAAAGCGCATCGACCTGACACGAGATGTTTTATTTGAGCTGAAACACGTAATTATATATTTTATTCTTCCTTCTGTCTCTCTCGCTCTCTCGCTCTACCTGCAATCTCTATCTATCTATCTATCTATCTATCTATCTATCTATCTATCTATCTATCTATCTATCTATCTATCTATCCTTTAATCATCTATCTATCTATCTATCATCTATCATCTATCTCTATCTATGTATCTTTCTATCTATCTATCTATTTATCTATCAATCATCTATCTATCATCTAGCTATCATTTATCAATCTATCTATTCTTTAATCATCTATCTATCATTTATCTATCTATCATCTAGCTATCATCTAGCTATCATTTATCAATCTATCTATTCTTTAATCATCTATCATCTATCATCTATCTATCATCTATCTATCTATCTATCTATCTATCATCTATCTATCATTTATCTATCAATCATCTATCTATCATCTAGCTATCATTTATCAATCTATCTATTCTTTAATCATCTATCTATCATTTATCTATCTATCATCTAGCTATCATCTATCTATCTATCTATCATCTATCTATCATTTATCTATCAATCATCTATCTATCATCTAGCTATCATTTATCAATCTATCTATTCTTTAATCATCTATCTATCATCTATCATCTATCTATCATCTATCTATCTATCTATCTATCTATCTATCTATCTATCTATCTATCTACCTATCATCTATCTATCATCTATCTATCTCTATCTATGTATCTTTCTATTTATCTTTCTATCATCTGTTCCTTCCTTTCTTCATCTCTCTCTTTCCCTCTCTCTTTCTCAAATTATCTTCCTATCCTATCTGTTCCTTTCTTCCTTATCTTTTTCTGTCTATTTATCTTTCTATCATCTACCTTTTCCTTCCTTCCTTCCTTCCTTCCTTCCTTCCTTCCTTCCTTCCTTCCTTCCTTCCTGTCTCTATTGTTATATCTCCTGTACCTCTCTTTTTCTTTCCTTCTTTTTCTTTCTTCTTTCTACTTTTCCTCCCTCCTTCCCCACCTTCCTTCTTCCCTCCCTCCTTTTCCCCTCTCCCTTTTCCTCCCCATGGATCATACAGGAGGCAGCTGGGCAGCCTCAACCAGATCCTTAGCAGGAAGGAAAGAGCCGGCGGGGGATGGGAGGGGGGCCTGGCACCCGGACCCCCCCCCCCCCGCCTTGCAGCAGGGCGCCTGACTCATTAGCGAGGAAGCAGCAGGCCGATAGCCATCTGCTCCCCCCTTAATGAGCCGTGGGGAGTCTTTGCCGGAGAAGCCGAATTGCTCAGCCGTCGTCCGCAAGGAAGGAGATAAGCCAGGATGAGACCTGGGCAGACACAATGGCTGGGGATTAGCAGCCAGGCGGAAGGGGAAGCGGAGTCTTACCCCAGCTGGCTTGAGATGACCCGGGGGCCCACGTATGACGTGAGCAAGGAGGTGTCCGGCCCTTCGGCCCAGCATCGGGTGGCAAAGGTGCCTGGGAGGTGCGCACCAGTTCCCACAACCCTGTCACGAAAATACCTATGGAGCCAACGTCGATGTTTTCATGCCATGAACAAGCCAGCATGCCAGAGCTTAAGCTAAATATCAAGGGAGGGGCTGAATTTCCACCAGGAGGTGTGCAGAGCTGGGTTTCAAAACCAGGTTTCCTTCGGCCAAAACTGTGTTTCAAAACTAGGTTTCCTCCGGGCAAACTGGGTTTGAAAACCAGGTTTCCTCTGGGAAAAACTGGGTTTGAAAACTAGGTTTCCTTCGGCCAAAACGGGGTTTGAAAACAAGGTTTCCTCCGGCCAAAACTGGGTTTGAAAACTAGGTTTCCTCCAGGCAAAACGTGGTTTGAAAACTAGATTTTCTCCAGGCAAAACTGAGTTTGAAAACCAGGTTTCCTCCGGGAAAAACTGAGTTTGAAAACTAGGTTTCCTCTGGGCAAAACTTGGTTTGAAAACTACGTTTCCTTCGGCCAAAACTGAGTTTAAAAACTAGATTTCCTCCGGGCAAAACTGAGTTTGAAAACTAGGTTTCCTCCAGGCAAAACTGGGTTTGAAAACTACGTTTCCTTCAGCCAAAACTGAGTTTGAAAACTAGGTTTTCTCTGGGAAAAACTGGGTTTGAAAACTACGTTTCCTTCAGCCAAAACTGAGTTTGAAAACTAGGTTTT